GTACAACCAAAGGGTTTTATTTTCGAACGTGCGGGGCCTCAACTGCCCAGCTAAGCGTAGCGCTGTACGCTCCGTCATCCGACCAGCCAACCCGTGTATCGTGTGCCTTCAGGAAACAAAGATCGCTGCCGTGTCGTCGTCCCTTGTGCGCGATACGCTGGGCGCCTCGTTTGCCGACTATTTCTTCCTCCCGGCCACGGAGACACGCGGTGGCATCCTCCTCGCATGGCAGAGCGACATCGTCTCCCTCTCCCACCCTACCATCGCCGACCACTTCATTAACGCGTTGGTGACACCACGCGACGGCAGCCCACATTGGTGGGTGACAGGGGTTTACGGGCCACAAGAGGAACCGGACAAGATTGCCTTCCTCGCCGACCTTCATGACACGAGATCTTGCTGCGCCAGACCTTGGCTAGTCGGGGGCGACTTCAACATGATTGCGAGCGCCGAGGACAAGAACAACGGGAACCTGCACTGGGCTGCCATGCGCCGCTTTAGAAACTTCATCGTCGACGAGGAGCTCCAGGATATCTATCTACACGGCCGACGCTACACCTGGTCGAACGAGCGCGAGGCTCCGACCCTAGAGCGCATTGACCGCGTACTCTGCACTGCCGGCTGGGCGACCGATCACCCTAGATGCATGCTGCGCTGCCTGTCAGCCGCGGCATCTGACCACGCGCCGCTCATCATCGACTCCCTTCCGCGCTCCTGCAAGCCAAGGCGATTCCATTTCGAACGGTTCTGGCCCTCGCTCCCGGGCTACCACGAGGTGGTCGCGCAAGCGTGGAACTCTACACCCCGCGAGCCAGACCCGTTTCGTCGCATCTTCGCGAGGCTTCGTGCTACTGCCAAGTGTCTGCAACGATGGAGCTCCAAGACGGTGGGGAACGTCTCGCTGCAGCTGTCCATTGCCCGTGAGCTGATTGCGCGTTTCGACGCGGCACAAGATTGGAGAGCGCTCTCTCCGACTGAGGCCTGGCTCCGACGCCGGCTCAAAGCCGCGTACCTAGGGCTGGCTTCCCTGGAGCGATCCCTGGCGCGGCAGCGTACGAGACTAAGCTTCCTCAACGCGGGCGACACTGGCCCCGCCTTCTTCCGGCTCCATGCCGCCCAACGTGCCCGCAAGAACCACATCTTCCAGCTTCAGGACGGTGACGGCCACATCCATGGCCATGCGGCGATCGCTCATGCAGCATTCGACCACTTCACGGCGATCCTCGGCACCGGCGTCGAGCGTACTTCATCCATCGACCTGGACGCCCTAGACCCGCGCTCCTTCGAGCTGCTGGACCTCGAGCTCCCCTTCACCGAGGATGAGATATGGGAGGCCGTTCGGCGGCTTCCAAAGGGACGGGCGCCCGGCCCGGATGGCTTCACGTCGGAGTTCCTCTGTGCCTCTTGGGCAACCATCAAAGACGACTTCGTGGCGACTTTCGACAAGTTATACCATCTCAATGGCCATGGGTTCCAGCGGCTAAACGAGGCACTACTCATCCTCCTACCCAAGAAGCAAGATGCCGCATCCCTCTCGGACTATCGGTCGATTAGTCTGATTCACATCGTTGCCAAGCTCTTCGCTAAGGTGCTCTCGCTCCGCCTCGCGCCACGCCTCAATGACATGATCTCCGCCAACCAAAGCGCCTTCATCGCCGGCCGATGTATACACGACAACTTCTTGCTCATGCAGCAAACAGCGAGGCAGCTCCACAACCTGAAGAACCCGCGAGTCATGCTCAAGCTCGATATCGCACGTGCTTTCGACTCCGTGTCCTGGGCTTTCCTGCTAGAGACTCTACGTCACCTCGGATTCGGTCGCCGATGGTGCGAGTGGATATGCATTCTTCTAGGTACGGCCAGCACACGTGTCCTCACCAACGGCGTCCCCGGTCCACCCATCCAGCACCGTTGCGGACTACGGCAGGGGGATCCCGTGTCCCCCATGCTCTTCCTCACGGTCATCGACACCCTCAACAACCTCATATGTCGTGCGGCCAGCGAGGGGGTGCTGCAACGCCTGACTGCGCGCCACATGTCCTCAAGCGTCTCCATCTACGCCGATGACGTCATTGTCTTCTGCCGACCGGACGGGCACGATCATGCTGCCGTACGCGAGCTGCTACGGGTATTTGGGGTGGCTTCGGGGTTGCACACCAACTATGCCAAATGTGCGGCCTCCCCCATCCAGTGCACGGACGTGGACCGGGCCATGATCACCACGAATCTCGCCTGCCCGCTGCAAGACTTCCCCACCACCTATCTCGGGCTGCCGCTATCGGTCCGTAAAGTTAGCTCCACCGCTCTACAGCCCATCATCGAGAAGCTGGAGCGCCGAGTCTCGCGTGGTGGGGATCCCTCATGTCGAGGGGCGACCGGATCGCCCAGTGCCGTCATGTTCTCTCGGCCATGCCAACACACATCATGATTGCGATGGCCGTCAACCCGCCCATCCTCAAGCGCATCAACCGCTTGATACGCAACTTCCTCTGGTACGGCCGGAAGGACGCGAGCGGTGTCCACTGCAAGGTCAACTGGCGCCGGGTATGTAGACCCATCTCCCTCGGCGGCCTCGGGATCCCAGACCTCCAGTGCGCCGGCATCTCGCTGCGTGTCCGGTGGCTGTGGCAGCAAAGATCCGACGCCTCACGGCCGTGGCAGCACCTGCACATCCCCCACTGCCCGGAGGTCCGAGCCATCTTCAGGGCTTCAACCTCTTGGTGCGTTGGCAATGGAGAGTCCTGTCTATTCTGGGAAGACCACTGGTTGGACGGGAAAAGCATCTCCGAGATTGCGCCGTTGGTTTACTGCAGGGTGGCCAAACGTCGGCGCAAGTCACGCACGGTTCGAGAGGGCCTGTTTAACCAGGCGTGGATCGGCGACATTCAAGGTGCCATGGGCGAGGCCATGACCGTCCAGTATGTCATGCTCTGGCGGCGCCTCAGGCACTTCAATCTGACTGAGGAGGAGGACCGACTTTCGTGGCGATGGACTGAATCAGGGATCTACTCTGCCCGCTCCTGCTATCAGACTCTTTTCGCCGGCTCCATCACCGACCCGCATTGGCGTATCACGTGGAGACCATGGGCTCCACTTCGCATCAAATTCTTCGTATGGCATGCTCTTCTGGGTAGGTGCTGGACTGCCGATCACCTGGCACGGCATGGCCTTCCCCACGAGCCTCGCTGCCTACTATGCAATCAAGAACCGGAAACCATGCAACATATCCTGACGGGCTGCTCCTTCTCCCGCCAAACCTGGCATGAGGTGCTCTCGTGGTGCCGTTTCACCACCGCGACCCCTGCACCAGACGACGAGTTCGCCAACCGGCTATCCACGGCCATCTCCAACACCTCGGCTACTCTTCGCCGCGGCCTCGCCTCCATTGCCGTCCTTACCGCTTGGCACCTCTGGAAACACCGGAACGGGTGCCTATTCGACGGCGACCAGCCTGCTGTGGGACGCGTAGTGCACATGATCCAGGAGGAGGCGCGGCTTTGGGCGCGCGCCGGTGCCAAGGGCATGGCCCTCGTCCTGCCAGAGACGTAGGCCCCGTCTGATCGGGCAGCACACCCCGTCGTCTGTGTGCCAAGGCT